CAGGGTCGATGACACGTACTTCCGTTGCGTTTTCATTCGTATCATCGGGCGCCCTTTAGATTTCCAGACGAGTCAACTCCGCCTGTCAAAGTTAAATCTCGCTGATGTGACACAGCCCGATACGACGCGGGCGCGATGCTATGCAGACGTGATGTGATGCAACCTGATGTGATGCAGACGCGATGTGAATTGGGAATTGTGAAATGTGAATTGCGATGTGAACCTGGTGTCAACACGGAAGGGTCAACGCGCTCCTCGTTGAGTACTTCATTCGGTACTTCCTAGGAAGTACGGGGACGGCCTCCCAAAAAAATAAGAAAGCCTCTCGAAATTTTTTATTATTAAATTCATATTTTTGAAGGAATTGACTCAAAAATTTAATGAGACGTTGTCTAACGCGTTCCGCAAGAGATTTTGAAGTTTCGTGCGACTTCGATCACCCGCTCTTGGGCAATGACAGATTTCGTCGAAAGGCACGAATCCACATTGGCTTTTTACTTGAAAGAAAAAAAAAAGTTCCCCTGGACGAACCATCGTAAAAACTTAACAGGACTTTCAAAGTGTATGTTTTTCATCATACGAAAATTTTATGCATGTGCATAAATTTTCAGGCATTACCTTGCAAATGTGGATTCGTACCTCGCAATAACCGCACGCCTGTTAGCTCAGAATTTTGACAATTTCGTTGAGATCTGACATAACTCGAGATTGGATAGCCGCAGGTGCATTAAATTTTTGCCGTACTTGGAGAACACATTAAGCGGCGTACCATTGCAATTTTTAGTCAATACCTTCAAACGTATGGAGCAGTTTCGTGTGACTTTTTTTTGGCCAACCATGTATTTTGGCTCAATATTAGCCCACTTCATGGCATACTCCGTGCTGTTGAGAAGAAAATAGAGCCAGAAACCTGTGAATTTCTGCTTTCTTCATTCGGGAAAGGATCCCCAGACAAAGCAGCAGTGCCGATCAAAAAACCGAGATTGCCGAAGGTGCAGACGAGTGCAGAAGTGAAAGTAAGCCGTCCCACGCCCACGAGCTTCCGTGAGCCTTCTTTTCGAGTCAGGATCTTTTAAGGCAAATTGCGTTTTGATACTTGAGACACAGGAATACCCTTGGGACAAGTCGAGTCCACCTGTACAGTATATATGTTTTTCGTCGAAGTGGGAGCAGATGTCTTTCCTCAGGAGCTGTCCTTGCGGTTTTACGAATATTTGTCACCTACGAGGTGACAGGGCTGATCGACTGTCACCTACGAGGTTAACTTATAACTTGTACTTATCGTACTTCAGTACTTTCAGCCTTGGAGATACAAACATCTATGCAAATCCATTGATGTCCCATTCGAGATTATGCATTCGGTAGTTCCTCCCGTAAGTTATATCAGTCAGTGTATGTTCGAAGGGTGACCAAAAGTTTTGTCGACCTGGTCTGGGTTTGCTCACATTTTTTGCATGTTACGGCGTGTTCCACTTGCCTACAGAAAGAAAGCAAGTCCAGCAGTATGCTTTGTAAAAGGAGAATTTTCTTTCGCTTTCATCACGATGAGGCCTTAGATTTTCTGGTGCAGGTGACCCTGCAGGGTCACATGTGACTTAATCCCGGGGGGATCAGAAGAAGAACTTCCCTTTCCCTTCTTCAGACATCTGTGTAATTAATTCGTATGCGCTAAAAACTACTTCGAAGATGAACATCGCTCAGATCGACCTGCCACCGCAAGTCATGAAACAAACGCGGACATCGTGCACGCCAAAATGCGATCGAATCCACACCTTTCCAAGCCGTGAACTCGCGAAGCATGAAACCACAAGACTCCCAACGTTGCTGTTTGTGGCTCGAGGCAGGTGAATGGGGGACTGCACGCTTTCCGCACAGTCGGGTGCAGTCGGAAAGTGGAGTCCGAGTGAGCAGGACCGATTCCAAGATCCTGCAGAACTTGCCGCTTTGGGACCTTCAAATTGAGGCACACGTTTTCCTCGTCATTTTCTCGTCGCTTTCCATTGCGATTCGATCTGTGCGATGTTAACATTTGAGGTAGTTTTCACTGAGCTTGAATTCGCATCACCGTCTTATTGTGCATTCGAAATGGGAGATCGCTTTCTGGTCACGCCGGGGGACGAAGTCAATGGATTACAAGCATCAGCAATTTTGAAACATGAAACCAAATTCCGAAACGTGATGAGAACAGAAGCAGGTTTACCTTTTATAAATCATGCTACTGAACGGATTTCCTGGATGATGGAAAGTTTCAGCGTGCAGAAATGCTAAAGCTGCTACATGCAGAAATCTCGTTCAAGTCCCAACTTCAGCTGATGCCATAGATTGAGAAAGGTTCTGAGTCAGCCCTCATATTACCGGTATATATTCTACCGATATATGTTTATACAGATACGAAATACATACAGATACATATTTCTTTGTGTAGTATCACCCTGTTCACCGATAGCTGAAGCTCGAAGAAAAAATATTGTTTCCCAGGGCTGCTATTAACTTTGGGCTTCTGAAGTGCTGCGATCATTTACGATGCCTTCAATCTTAGGTAGTATGTATGATTTCTTATTGCATATTCTTCGCCAAAAATGCAACACCAAAAAGTAACTTGTGGCCGATGGTGCATTAGACTGAAGAATACATACTTATAAAATTAAATTCATATCAATAACTGGTTGCCATTGGTTAGAAAGGTGAAAGAAACTCTGCTCGGTGGTGTGAAGGTCCTCTCAAAAGGTCATTCCGTGTCAAATCGATGCACTACGAAGCATGACTTTCTCCGATTTTGATGAAATTTGGACCGATGCTCTGTACTGTTGAGACGCCCGAAATATTTTCGTCTTCTGTATATTACACCCGAAGAGGAAAAATGTTTAAAAAAAGAGTCTGTTTAGTGAACAAGTGAACTGACCCTGCCCCTCAATATCTCTTCTAGTCGTGCTATTGAGATATTTTATTGTGCTTTTTAACGGTCTATTCCTGCCCTTTCCGCTGATTTCATATTAGTTGGTATATTCTCAAAACATATATCGTAGTCATGAAATCGATGTGCACATTGACCTCTTTTAGCAAAAATGCATCCTCTGGGATATCCATTAAATTTGGCTCGCATATTTTTTATTTATTTACATTAATGCAAAAAAAAATATTCGGATATTAATAACTTTTCAAGATAATAATTTTTCCATAGCAGAAAAGTGAAAAAATGCAGGACCTGCTCAAGATCATAGCTGCATTCTGATTGAAGCTCGGTGCCTCTGTCGATGTCTATGGAAGAGTCGGTCTGAATAAGTCTGGGACGGATGGAATCGTGTTCTCTTGAAATAAGTTTTTTTTAAAAATCATGTTGCTCAGAGGAAAAATTTAGCTATGAGGAAACTACCCTTCCCGAGCATCCATCAAAACAGAAAGAGATTCATGAAAGATGTCTCAGAACTGTTTGGAATTTGAATTCGTTGTTCCTCAAATATTGAGTTGACCAATGGGATGCTTCATTCAAGTTATCAAATCATCAGGCCGACTGACTGAGACGAATGATACGCTGCGTTAGAGACCTTGGGAAGCGAAGGAAATGCGCCGGTTTTGGTGAGTGCATGTGGGCATGAAAATGAGTTGAGAGGCTAGGAAGCTCTATGGCAGGCTTGCTCTTAGTGCGGTACGCGGGCTGCATACAGCCCACAGAATGCCCTATTTCAGCACTTTTGGCCTAATGGGAAAAGCTCACTTTGCAATGCAAGTCGAGTGCTTAATGATTTGCAGTGTGATAAGCGCTTGAATACGGATCTCATGGGCTCCACATTTGTGAGTAAAAATGAATCATTCAGTTCGTTTCCTCTAGCTACGGCTCGGAGGCAGAGCCAGAAAGAGACTGCCACTAGGAAGAGGAAGTTAGGGCACCGACGGCACCCTCTATCGTTAACTCTTGCAAGACGCAATATCATGCGCGTGCTATAGATGGCACAATCAGTCAAGACAGGAATTGATGCGCTTTATTTTCTTCAGATGGAAATAGTCACTGATCGTCACGGGAGATGAAAACACAGAACACGAGATGCAAGAGCAGGATCTGGAAACTTCGACCTGCATTGCAAACATCCTTATGGCAATAGCAAAGTTCGTGTTGATGTTTTGTGAGGCAGTAATCGAAATGAACTCCCGCATCCAGTCCTCCACAGCTCAAATTTACCTCTCCGTTCTCTAAAAACGATGCATGCAGGACAACAGAGTTCGTGAGAGAAAACCCTGCCCATCACCCATCACCCAAACCCATCACTCCCTTACTGATGAGAGTCATCCTCTTGCAGGTTGTGGCGTTTCTGCAATCGACAATGGGGGGTTTCTGCTCGAGTAGATAGTGTTTATGGCATCGCAGACAAGAAACACATCTCAATGGTCTCGTGTCTGGTTTTCTGCCTGGATCAGGGTTCACAAAAGGTTTGTGACCGCTACAGGAGGACGCCATCAGGACCTATTTCTCGCGAATCATGTACGAAAATTGAAGGTGAAATTGCAATGGTGAGTTTCACACGGTAAATGTGAATCTCAAGATGTGATTTCTTAGTTGAACTCACATGAGATGCCCAGATCAGAGCGACCGCATGACGGAAAGTCATGGCTAGGAGGGCATGGAACAACTATTTCTGGCTTCATTAATAGTTTCTCGGCAACGCAGTACGACCCTTCTGTTGTCTCAACTGCGTACTGCGTTCGAATTCGGTTGACACATGACATACGTCAGAAACACATGAACACGAGCTGGATCGCTGGAACTTATTCATAAACTGAATGTTGTCTCCGTCCATCGATTGCTTCCATGTAAGCCGGAGCAACGTTATTGCACAGGGAGGAAAACGGAGCTCCAATAGCTGGTAGTGACGGAGGGGTAGGGTGTATGGAAACGCAATGAATAATGAAGGCCGTATATCCCCCCATTGATTGAGCCGGCGGCAGGTGCCACCAATCAATGAACTTCTCGGTTCTCGGGAAAGTGCAGTCCCTGCCATTTCCGTCTTCGGATAAGTACTCAGCAGTGCGATGGGTGCGAAGGAATCATGACCAACTTGATGAGTTCATCAGAAAGGCCAGGAAACAAGGTTCATGAAGGCCTGGAGGAACGTGGAGAGCCGACCACGGGAACAGATAGACTCCGGACCGGTCGTGCACAAGCCAAACTTCATCCCGAGATGGGGATCCGGGATACGAGGAAGGTTGCCAATCACATGGACCTCTTATCCCTGGCCAACTTCTACAATGAGATGAAGCTGAATACCATCGGCGACTACATCATCAGCACTGGGGAGGCGCAGCGCCGTAACAGTGAAGACGCAGTGCCGTGAGTTCTTGGGCTCCCTTTGAAACTCCAGGAAATAAATTTATTTTTCACTGCTGACCTGATTTTGAAAGAGAGCATCTAACTAGTCAGAGTATTGTGAAATAAAAGTCTACGTGTAATTTATTCCCTAAGACAGTCAATAAGTGATGTCTCATCTACATTTCTTGGAAAAGCTATCACATATTCTGCAAAGGGTATCTCATCATGACTCCTAGTGCATTCAGCATATACGAATGTAGGCCCAGAGAGAAGGTGAACGTCTACTTTTCGTGCAAGTTTATTCATAAAGAGTAATTGACACGGAAAAAAAAACTATATAAGAATCAAGAAAATTGCCTAATTTTTCTTTCCTCTTTACTTCTCAAGCATAACCACTATCGCAGGTGTGGATTGTCCTTCTTGCAAGCAACATCCTCGCTTGTCAGGAAGGAGAAGTTGGCTTTCTGATTGAAGACCGAGCAGTGCTTGCTGAGACGCTATGCTAATCGAGCTTGTTCTTAGGGCTGTAAGCAATTAGACCAGAAACTCTGAAATTTACAATTGAAGAAAGGAAGAAAACAGATGAAACAGTGAATTTTGTGAATTGGTTAATTGCATGCGTTGCAAGGGGAGATGGAAAAAGTGAAAAAGGAGTCCATCAGACGCATATTAAGTGGGGCATTAATGGCGATTACCTTCTGAAAAGTTTTCCGGCTCTGGGCAACAATCTTCGAGTAACTCCCTCGGACTAGGTCATGTCCACAGCTTTATATTTGAATAACAAGTGGAGAACACCATAACTCGAGGAAAACCGGCCCCTATTTTCTTTTTTCATCTAAGAGCGGTTTTCTTTTGGCTGCTAATTCTGTGCTCGCAGCCTTGCAAACATACTCGCGGCAGTCGAGGTATAAAAATACACTCTTCATGAAAAATAACAGGGAAAAATTGAGGTACTTTCTATTGTTTTGATGTTTCGACCTGTAAATAATTTTTTTTGAGATCCGGGAATACACTCTTATTAAACAATTTAGCTAGCAATCGCCATATGCTCATACTGGATGCACAAGGAGTCATCAATTTTTAAAATGCATTATCCTGGAAAGCTCCGCACCAAAAATACTTACTTCCCCGACTTGCCCAGCAGAGTTTCACACCGACGCAAAGCTGGATTATGGGGGACTCCGACAAATCCACCTCCAACGCCGACATCAAAACCGGTGAAATTGACACCTTTGACCCAAGCTTCGTCGATGCCCAACTCTTTCCCCATGCCTGCACCGAGAGGCTTGCATCTCTCTGTCAACTACAGTTTAGGTAGGTTCTCTTTCCCCTGGATGCTGCCGCATAAGATGGCAGTCCCCAGACACGAAAGCGGAGTCGTAAAGGACTATTTCCATCTGTGAACGGCAGATTCCTTGTCCGAGTCCCGATTAAGGATCCCCATGGACGGCTACGGCGCCATGGAAGACAGAGAATCGGGACGAGCCCTGCAGCAGAACAACATTCTCCCCGAGATTCGAACGAGAGGGAAATCTCTACCGCCGAGTCGAGGAAGTGATTCGTGAACTTCAAAAGACAATACACAATACTTGTGATTTGCATGCGTTGCTTACAAACATAATTCAAAGTTGCATATATATATTTCAGAGTATCAAATATGATTCATTAGTTTAGCTTTCATTCACGTCTTCCAAAAAGCATTCGCTTCAACCTAAGTCATCCAATGATCCCATCATGAACAATGTCCATGCATATATCATTCCAATTCATTTGTTTGGGCGTTCATATGTTTTCATGAATTGCATGATGGCACAGAGTTCAAATAACGAACGATCATGAATAACTTGCGAATAGGTGAATGCAGACTTGCAGAAGTCTGATTCACGATCATGCTCTTAATCAACTTTTCAGGTGTGTGATCGTGCTTGAATATAGCCCATACAAGACCAATTAAAAAGAGCAGTATTATCATGGTATCATGTTCAACTCCATGGTCATAACATCAGTCTTGGGTTTTATAATTGAGCTAGGGGTCTTCATCTGTCCCTGATGTGCCTTGGGTTTTGCCACATAAGGCTTTATATCGTGGTTTTATGCATCGCACCTGTTATACAGGCACTATAAGTATGAGCACTTGATGTGAACAGTGCATGCCAGAACTCATAACTCTGAAAGGGGAAATCCAAAGCCACTTTCAGATACTAACACTCATAAGTCATTGTTTCAAGATCCTTCTTTCTCATTTACACTGGTGATGAATTTCGAAGACTCCCTTACATCTTAACACTCGCAGCCAAAACCTTGAGACTGGAAAGATGTTAGATAGTGTCCCTTTTATTCTGAACAATAAAGATGCATTACATAATTTACAGCATTTCATTAAGACGCAGAAGAAAATGAATGTCAAAAGTCAGGCAGGATTAGCATTATTCGAGGGATTAGCTGCACAAGAGACTGGCTGAACAATCACCAATTCTCAAGGAAGAATTCTTCGATAATCAGTGACCAGAAGCAGCCCAGGAATGCCAGATCCTTCGCTTCATTTTGATCGCTGTTTCGTAATCTCGATGATCTTTTGACGCAAGAGTGCCTCCCAGTCGTCGCCCTCCTTCATGATAGGAACTTGTGGAGAAACCTGAGGAAGAGCATCCACCCTGGGATTGCTGAGCATAGGAATTCCACATGCCCGACTGACGTCTGGAAACTTCACCAGAGATGCTGTTGCAAGGACCACCCGTTGTATTGTAGGACTGAAACAAATAAATATAGAGGTTCGGGAAGGAGAACTTCAGGGGAAACCTCCCAGAAGCATCCTAAGGAACATACCTGGCATAGTCACTAGCTCAGGACGGGGCATACATCTCATAATGTGTGACCATTACTTCATGAGCAAATCTATATTTACTGCTACTTTAATGACTCCAAGTTTAGTTAACCTTATGTTCTCAGGGCTATGTCTCTCTGGAGAAATCAAGAATGCATGAATTACTAAACTAGACTCAGTTTAAAAGCAAGACTCCTTTCCATCGATAACTTCAATGCGTCAAAAGGCCTTGAAATCCGATCTAATCCGAGTAAGACTGATCGACCGAGAAAAGTGAATTCTAGACAATTAGACAAATTGAATTCCACAGGCTGGACGCAATGCTCATACTCGACGATATGGTTACAACTAAACCAATAGCACTAGCCTTGTCATTCTTGTCACTGTTCTAGATAGCGCACCAATGCCCGAAAAAGGCCGTTGTGGTGGCGTTCATTAGCCTTGGAAAAGTGTCCTCATTTGTATGAAATGCGATTTAAAACAAAATTATTCGCTCATTTGACGAAATAACTGTCGAGATTTTACGCAGGGAGGCGCATCTTACCTGTGCGCATAGTGAAAGGAAACACCAGTGGCTGTATGAGGGCATATGGCATATGAATTCTCATCCCAGCATCGTTTCATAGTTTTCAGGATCTCCTCATCATTGGCAGAGTAGGACTCTAAAAGAAAAGTAAAGAGGAACTCTCTGGAAGTTCTACATCATACATCATATCATACAACGTAAATTGTAGGACTAACTGTTTCATACCATACGAATTTTGATATTTCAGAGATATAAAAATTTTATATTGAAAAAATCATGATTCAATTTTAAAAATGAAAAGCAGCTAATGAAACGAAACGTGATAGAAAGGTAGGAAAAGACAGATAATTAACATAGCAAGGCATAATGAACCAAAACATGGAAAACCTGACCTGCTTTATAGAAACTTAAAAAGAGACTTCTGAAACATGCAGCTCTCAAGTAGCCAAATCCCACTTCTGGCCAGAAAACAGATACACGCCATTGCTATGCCTTTGAGGTTGTTTTTATATCACGATCCTGTGGAAAACCTGAAAAGTTTCCTTTCAAAGAGGGATATTCATGAGATTTGATAATGAAGCCTCAGGCACACAACACATTTAATTACAAATTACCGATAAATACTTTTTGGGCAGTCGTGGAAATATTGCTAATACTTCTGCCGTGTAACAATGCATCCAGCTTGAGGGTGTTGCTGGGAACAATATTGTCAGTAAGGCCTAATTATTTGCGGGGATTTCGCATTTGGTCAGAAACTGAATGTGCAAATGTGAAGCTTTTATGCAGGACATGAAGAGATTAAGATAACATGTTTCCTCACTCTGTCTTCCGAGTCACATCTCACGTGTCAAAAATATTCCATTATTGCCTCTTGTTGTCAAGCATTGCGTGACTTGTCAGCGACTTTTTCTTTGCAAACATTCTATGGAAATGAAAGAGAACCTACCGGGAATGACTTTCTTCATAGAGGCATATACATGACTGGGGATGACACTTTTCCCGTGTGAGCCAAAAGATTCCATCATGTCTTGTACCAGATCTCCATCTCCATCACAAAACATATAGAAGATTCTTTCCATGTTGTATGGACTCTGGAAAGAGGAGTCAATAATGCATATTTAGGTTTAGGTTCTGCCGAACTTCGAAGGTCCTCACCTCTTGACCTAGCTAGGTTTATTGAAATTTTAACAATGCACATGCTGTTGCAAACTGACTTGTATGTCCATTGCCGATGCATATGTGTGATGGACATGTGACCCCTGAGAGAAATCAGCATTCTGGATGCAACGAGTCACGACATCATTGTTATTCGTGCACGGCACGATTTTAATTGGAAGTCCCATTTTAGCTGCAATTGTTCCCGCTGTTGGAATATGAAACAGTTCGCATCAGGATCAATCAAAGTCATCAGGCAAACGCACGGATCATTCACATGACTATAATTTTAATGTAAATAACAAACCTGTGATGCTGCTACAGCCTCCTGTCGGAACAATAACTTCCAGCGGCTCCATGCTGTCTATGCTACAAAGACGGTAGTAGGTATAAAAGTACATGGGGACCTGGGCTAAGATGCGACCAATATTGGCGCTATTGAAGATCATCAGCCCGTGTTCTTCAGCAAAGGCAGTATCCGATGTGACTGCCATTGTGATTTCATCCAAGTCATCGGAAGTTCCCTCCGCTGGAAAAAAGCAAGCACACAAACTCCTAATTTGAGTTCAAAACAAACTTGAAAATATATACGTAATCACGATTTATCCAAACCTGCAAAAACGTGAACATTGGGGCTTTGGACTGTACTCATCTGTAGTTCCTGGACCTGAGTGCATCGTCCTTTCGGATAGAGCACAATGATGTCCGCATTTACCATCTTCCTCACACAATGTATGGCTGCGCTTCCCGTGTCACCACTGGTCGCTGAATCAGAACAGAAAAACCCCAGGAATGCATACGTCTCTCATATTTGTAATGAATGGTAGAGAATTGCACATATCTAATATAATTGGTGTGAAATGATAATTTACTTCGGTTCCTCTTCAGTTGAAACGTAATAGAAAGGTTTTAAATGGTAGTCATGAATTTCAATTGGTATCTAAATGTACAGGTACCTCCATTCTGTTTGCTCGAAAGCTTCGAAACTAAAGTTGTTTCCTCGGTGACACACTAATGCCTTGTGCATACTAGAAAGTAGAATCAAACTCAGGGCAACAATTAATAAATAACTCGTTTTCCCGACACTGGGATGAGGTACCTGAAACCAATCTGCTTTATCTTTGCATTGATAACTCACCAACCAACACGATAGCCTTCTTCTTCTTCTTCTCCAATAGGCTGTCAACAAGACTTCCCACCACAGACAATGCAATGTCCTTGAAGGCGAGAGTCGGTCCATGATAGAGCTCAGCTATCTTGAGGCCACCTTGAAGCTTGGTAACGTGAATCACTTCTTTTGGATCATCGAAGTCTTCAAAATTTTTGGAAATAAAGTCTATGTGAAAGGAGAGAGAGAAACACTATATGCCTGATGACCAAGAGAGCAGTAAATCTGTGTAGAATGTAGACCTACCCGAATGATTCAAGTAGTCTTCCTCAATGAACTCAGAGAGCAACTGGTAGCACAGTTCCCAATAGGGAAGCGTACTGAGATCCTTCAATTTGGAGCGATCGAGGGCAGGAACTTGTTCTGGCAGGTAAATTCCTCCATTGCTGGCTAGGTCTGGAAGTGACCCAAGAGGACCTCTGGTTTACTTTTGATAATCATTCATTCAAATTCACCATGTACTTAGTTTTAAAATTTGGTGGAAGGATCCATTCATCGGAATATTTAGAGTGTTTTGCAGCGTATATCTTCAAAAACCTTTGCTCGTGTGCTAAAATGAGTTTGATGTCGTTAGCAAGGATGGAAGGAAGATTCGCAAGTTTTCGCGTTCGTCTAGCTACCTTGCTTCTTTGATACCTGAAATGTTAGCCGGTAGTTTCTATCTAGATCTGGTTTCTCGCGGCTTCCATCAGCCACATTCGAAATTCACAGGACATTTATCGCTCGAAATTTGTCAAGTTTTTTTTTTCAGAATTTTTTTTGCCTCTCCGACTTGATCAATTATCACGGCTAGAAAATAAATCAAGAGATACATTAAAAGAGAAACTTAGATGCATAAAAGATAATTTTTACTTTTATTTTGGACAGAATAGAGAAATTCGCATGGGAGTTTAATTAAATTTGCAAATTAAAAGCTGTGATTCTGCAACGAAGCTTATAACTTTGTCGGGACAGAAGGCGCTAATTATCCATGCATAGCACTACGCACATTTTTCAGATAAAGAGATATTAGTCATCCAAAATTGTATGAATTTGCAGATTTGCTATGTTGCAGCTCCCATGTGATTTTCTTCACCCCTCCCGCATATGAATGAAAAATATCCATGCAAAATCTTGGTACATTCCGGTTCTTCTGTATCTCATCAGTAGGATTTGATTAAAATAATGCTAATCCATCCAATGCGACTCACTTAATTAATTTTGCTTTAGGGAAAAGGACTTTCTTATGAGTACGAGATTCCCGAGATGTGAGAAACCGAGCCTCTGCTACTGAACTTACTTGAAAGCAGGACCTCGTCGAATGTGCAACGCTTCGAAGATCCGCGAGGATCTCTTGTACCTCTGAAATACATGGCGAACAGGAAACCTCCAAACCGGCCGGATGCCTAGCAGCTTCACGTTGTTTTTGGGACTGAGAAAGCTCGTGACCTTGGGATGCGAAATTGTGAGAGAAGAAAAGGGATGAAGGATCACCGTAGAGTCGGATGTCCTTGAAGTTGTCAGAGGAAGCTCGCATCTTGCTCGTGTAGACAACGTGGTTGAACGAAAAAGGGCAGGGAGAGCGCGACGCCTGGCGGGGAATGCGTGCAACGGACAGCTCGTCTCCACTCTCGCATCTCCGCATTCGGTCATCCCAAAATGAACTCGACTCACATCCAACGTGTATGGTCGAGCCCACTTCAATATCCTATGAGCAGCAACGAAGGTGAAGGGGGAGGTGGGGGGGAAGGAGTCTGAACCACTCCGAAATACACCACTCAACATTCGACGTGGATCACAATCGATTTCGTGGGTTGCAACGAAGGTGATAAAGTATGATACATTTCGGGTACATTTCCGCGAATTACTTTGTGTCCGATCGTGCGGAGACCCATTTGGCAATAAACAAACGATCCAGGCTGTATGAAACCAAATTATTGTACTGGATCAATCTAACGTTCATAGTTATTTGCAACAGTGATCTACTTCGAATGTT